GTTTCTGTTTCTACCACGCAAAAAAGTTTAAAAAGGCTTTATTTTCATTTGTACTGTTTCAAATTAATTTTTACAGTTTTTTTGTATTTGACACATTTAAACATATTTATTTTTTTTATTTTATGCCCACAATTTTATTTATTGAATTGTCTATTTTTGGTCATTGTTTATGTTTTAAAAAAAAGTTATTTTTGTGTTGACCGTTGTATTTGTTCAAATAATTGCAGGGCAGGTTACAATATACAAAAATGTTTGTCATAATCATGTCTTGTGATTATTTGACAGGAGTTTTACTTATAAACTGTAAGTGTATTTAATTTAGTTAATACAAATCAAAACAAGATTTAGAATAATTATCATTTTGATCCATTCATTGGTAATGTAACTGGGCCTCGTGCCTCTTTATGTTCAACAAATTGGACACCGAGGTCAAAAAGGTTAAGAACCCCTGGTCTAGAGCACTGCTACAATAACTATGCTGAAGAAAAGAATCTGATATTTCTGTAGATTATTTTGAGTTTCTATCAGAGAGATGAAGAGTCAGAGTTTATATATTGTTTCAATAAACAAAGATCAGAAAGTTTTTTTCCTAAAGAGTTCCCCTTTGATGTCACTTCCTGTTTCACTGACTAATCCAAGTTCGATAGAAAATATTAAGTTTGTGATGTTTTCTTTGACTTTCTGATTTAAAACAAAAGGCGAAGGTGTGTTTCTACTCACTGCTGGAGCCCAGGATGTCCTTCGGTCCCGGAGACATGGGCTCGACGCAGTACTGACACAGACAGTCCTTCCCGTTAAAGGTCACCCTGTCCCCGGCAGGAAACGGTCGTCTGGAAGACAACCAGTCAGCAGATCAACAGGAGCTGTCAGCCCTCCATTCACTTGGCTGCAGGTCTTGTGACAAGGCTGAAGATGACGAGGCCGTGTGACGAAGACGTGTGTCAACGCCATCCACCCGAGGACAGTTGGATGAGCTGGACGTGCGGCGTCCTACTGTACAACTGAAACATCCTCATCTTCATTCGTCACGACACGTCGGGACAAAAAACTCATCCCTTGTGAGTCGATGATTTATGATTCTTCGTGGGCGTTAATGACAAATTCTCTGATTTTGTGATTGTTTTGGAGTGAGGAATGATCATGAATGTAAAAACAAAACTTGGCTCCACATATTGTGCATTTTCTCGTATTCACACAAAGTCAGTTATATTAATAAAAACTAAAAAAGTTATCTCTGATTTGAGGTATTTTAACAGTTTTATCACTTGATTTCAGTTTATTGCAGTTCACTTTATATAAAACCCCAACTGAAGGATTTAAAACAGTGATGTGCGGTCACTAGAGGCTGAAATTAAATTCTATTATATTATTAGTTTAATTACAGAAAAAATAATATAATACATTAAATAGTTATATTTATTTTGTGCTTTGTACCATAAACTAATTTTCCATTAAGGCAAACAATTTCGAATAGTATTGTATTGAAAATCACTGTATTTTCTCACTTCCTGTTCAAATACCAGGATGGGACAGACCATGCAGCTGCAAGCTCCGCCTTCACTTGGATTGCGCAATCCCTCCCTGCTGCATGTCACGCAGTGAGAGTTGGGTTGCCAGTAAAATGTTTTTAAATACTTTTAAGATATGCTCTGAATTTCCACAGTTTAGCTGATGTTAAATATATCTGTGAAGAGGCTGGAGGAGAGGCTGCTGCAGGGGCTTGTGAGCCCAGAGATCACTCTGAGCTGCAGAAGAAGTAAAGGTTACATTAGCTACAATTTTATGGTTAGAAAATCAAGTTGTTATAATTGTAACTAGTTTTTAACTCATGCCAAGTTATTTTAATGGGACATTCAGTGGAAGCAGCAGGTAAAGAAGAACCACATCACAGCTGAGACAGCAGGGATAACTTGTTAATTTCTATCAATCATATGGTGTTGTACATCTGATAAACTGAGTGTCTCACCAGCRATGAACCTCACTGATTTAAAAGCATATACAGACTAAATTTGTCACCTGTTGGAGCCAGCCGTACTTCTGCAGCTCATTGTTGTAAATCCGAGGTTTATTAGATAAAGCAGCGACGTGAATGTGGAGGATGACTCACTTGCAGACGGTGCAGACGAAGCAGGCAGGGTGGTACGTCTTGCCCAGGGCAGTGACGACCTCTCCCTCCACYAAGTCCCCGCAGCCATTGCAGCGGGTGCCGTGCATGCGCTGGTAATCCAGCATGCACAGATACTCTCCATTCTTCATGAAGAACCCTCCCTGGGCGAGGTCGCAGCCGCACACTGCCAGGGACACACAAAGCATCGTTCCCGTTTAGTTCTGTGGCTCTTTAGAAACACCGGAACACATAGAGCCGGGGAGGAGTCTGGTCCTGGTCCTCGAGGGCCGCTTGTTTCCCTGCTCCAACACCCGAGTCAGTGGTTGAATCACCTCTTCACATTCTGCTTTCTGTCCACTCTTTAAATCAGGTGTGTTTGAACAGAGAAACATCTAAAATCTCCAGGATAAGGGCCCCCGAGGACCACCTTAGAGGCTCAACAATCAACAGTTCTTCTCAGGAAACGGCCTCGTTCTGTTTCTTAAAGATAACTGGCTCAAAATATGATGAGCTAAACATCCCCAAACTAAGTTCCTGCTCCATCCTACATCACTCTGTGTGAGGTAAACACTCAAAACGATGTCTCATAGAAAAAACAATGGACAGGTATTTGCAACGGAATTATGTGGCACCAAATCTAAATAGTGTCACTTATACGTTTTTATTATTTAGCTCACTTCCTGAGAGTAAAGCCCGAGTTCAAAAAACTTCCACTAACATGTTGTTGCTGTTATTTAGCTCACTGTTCCTAAATTTAGCTAATTTTTTTACTAAATGTTAAATATTATATGTAAGTATTAAATCCTAAATCTAAATATTAAAGTTAAATCTTTAATGTTGTGGCTAAATATTAAAACTTACATTTAAGTATTTCAGAATGAAACACAGCCTTTGTCTTTGGTGCGAGACTTTTGTCGCGATGTCATCATCTTGCGACAAAAAACAATCGCTAACCCTGCTAACTCGCCTAACTCTCCTAATGCTGCTAACTCGCCTAACACTGCTAACTCTGCTAACGCTATCTCTCCTAACGCTGCAAACTCTGCTAATGCTACTAACTTTTCTACTGCTGCTAACTCACCTAACACGGCTAACACTTCTGCTAACTTGCCTAACTCTGCTAACTCTCTTAACACTGCTAACTCTCTTAACTTTACTAAAGTTGCTAATGCTGCTAACGCTTAACACTGCTAATTCTACTAACTCTCATGACGCTGCTAACTCCTAAAAGGCTCGACACACGGGAGGCGACGTCGCTCGCTCTCCATTCATTTCCTATGGAGCCTGTGCGGTGAGGCGACAAT